GATTTGTTTAATTTACCGGTCCTTACTGATCAACTTAAAAGTTTGTTTGTTTTCTTTTTATCATTTTTTTTTTATTTAAAATTATGGCACATATTGTTTTTGATTGAGCTGCAAATCATCATAGCTTCAATGTTTTTAAATATATACGCTAGTCAATCATAATGTTAATGTTTTCAAAAATATTTAATTTTTGCCATAGCTGCAAGGGTATATGAACTACGGCTTGCCGAAGTTTGCTTCCTTGCTTGTTTTTATTTCTATTTATTAATCAAATAATATATTATGAACATTTGATTTTTATTGTTTATTCATTATACTAGTTTCACACGAAACTCTTATATTAAAGGCACGAACTGTAATGTGTTATTTAATTTTTTATTAATGTACAAATGCACGTACATTTTTTTTTAAATATATCGAAAGCGAAATATATCTTAAGATACGTTTTTGAGGGATGATTCTCGCTCAGACCCCTGCAAAACCTGCAATTTGAAACAAAATATTTTAAATGCAACAGTTATTTTTTGGAAAAGCAGTTTTGTTTCCAACTACTGCTTATTTAAAGTACATATTTGTGCAAGTACAAATAATATAAATTTTAAATGCGACATTTTGGCGGAGTTGAATTTTTGACTTCTGAAATCTATGTCAAATACGCTAAAGCGATTTTGGGTAAAACAGCAATTAAAATATACAGGCTATCCCTAAAAAATGTTTCTCAAATTAAGTGTATATTTTTTGTTGACATACGAATTTAATACTTTAAACAACATTTTTTGAGTTTCCATGACAGTTTCCAAAGCTCTTTCAGCTACTAAATTATTTTAAATTAATTTTCTATAAATTAATACATTCTAGGCCGCCCAAGTACAACTTTATACAGTTAGTTTTGGAGAGCGCTAGTCTGGTGGGCTGTGCCATCCTTCAGCAGACCCGAAACGACTGGCTTCAGACGTTCATGACGTGCAACTTTGGCCATGCCCCAGTTGTGGACTCGGCCGTGTACGAGGTCGGTCAGCAGGCGGCCACGTCCTGCAAGACCGGAGTCAACCCAAAATACGTACATCTCTGTTCCGAAAGCGAGAAGTACGAGAAGATAGGACCAAGTGTTGAAAATTCCGAAAAAGCGGAAGCAAAGAAAGCGAGAACTGTGAGAAAAAGAAGCTTTGTTGCGCTACAGAGTGCAGTGGATGATGTCGCACCAGATGGATTGCAACCTAGAGATGGCTCAGCCCCGGCCGAAGCAGCAGTAGCGGCAGGAGCCGAAGGAACAGCAACTCCAGCTGCCGCAGGAACAACAATTGCACCAGCTAGTGGTGCAACTCCAGTAAATACCGCCAGCCGCGCTCCAGCTGCTGGAGGTGAGACGCCAGCAGCAGGAGCTGCGACAACAGCTCCACCAGGTGCATCCGGAGAGGAAACCACTTTTGAAGGTTTAATGGAACCCACGCCAACACTTCCCGATACGGACATGTTGCAGAAAAAATTCGCCCGCTTCCTGGAGCTTATGAAACTGGCTGAATTGCACCATGGTCGTCGCAAGATCATGGTCATAACCAGCAACCATATGGTGGACGATGATCGCATTAAGCAGAATGTCGACGATTCTTTGACTTTAAGAACAATGAAGACAGCTGTATACAGGACTATTCGAAAACGTCATCTGAATATGCAACGCACTGGGTCAATGGGTCGCTCCATGGGTCACAATAGAAGACTTAACGCGAGAAGTCACCATGGTAACACATATTCCGCTCCCAAATGGATTGCTATAAGTTAAGTTTGGACTAACTGCATTCCTGGATGTTCCTAAAATTTAAACCAAAATTTAAAGAAAAAACCTTTGAATTATATTAGAAATTCTTAACTTGATAATAATAAATATCGTAAATAAATAAAAAAGTATTTTTTTACATATTATATCTTGTGACTTAACAGGAAAGGAAGTAAACTTTGGCAAGCAGAAGTGAATATGGGTACATAGGCAGATATTGCAAAATTTAAATATTCTACAAAACAACTTTATTCCAATATTTATGCCCATAAAAAAGTCCACATCCACATCGACGCACATCCTCATGTTGTGCCAAGTCTCAAGCACAATCAATTCCCAATAGACTGAAAAAAAAAAATTTCTGAACTTGTAAACTAATTGTTAATTTTAAAGACTGATTGGTGAGATTATTAGATTCTATCGAAAAGTAAAATAACGCTATTTTTTAAGTAAAAATAGCCATCGATGTCTGAAGCACATTTTTTTAAAATAAAACAACTACTTTTACTGAAATGTGCTTTATCCATAGCCGTTTGAATTTCTAAAATGGCTTCATTTGTTAAATTATTGTTTCAATATAATAATGCCCAATCCATAAATCTTTAAGATCAGGCTTCAACTAATTGATTTCCAAATAAAAACAAACCCTAAGCGTCTTCATTAAAAAGTTGAGAGGGTGAGTTACCCCTGGAAAAAATATAAAATGGGCCTTAAAAATGTTACTTAACGTGATGAAGGCCACATGAATGGGACTTTTAAGTTTTACCAAATCATTATTTGGTTTTGAGACATTAAACAAATCCAACATTTTAGTTATTTAAAGAAATCATAAATGTATATTTTTAAAAAATATATTATAATATTGCTGAATAAAGCATTTACATTATATTGATATCTTTAATAGTCTGCTAGTTATTCAACTTTTAAATTAAATTAATTAAAATAAGCTCAATGCCATCGTATTTAAAAGGGGCCAACACCTATTATTTACGAACTGTATAAAGTTTATATATGAAATAAAACTAATATGTAATAATTATATTTTAAGATTCTTTATTCTTTAGCTTACCGATTTAACTATACTATATCTTAAGCTTTTCACGTTGCATCGCCTTCCAAATGACATTCATCCGCATGTGCCCCTCTCGCAAATTATTCAGCATGGCTTCGACGGAACCATCGACTGGTGAAATTGGATGAGTGACTCCTAGCCTTTTACAAACAAAGATATGCCGATCGAGACGCCATTTAGCTTGGAATTTTTTGTTGCAGTGCTCGCAAACGAAACTTTCCTCATCCTCTTCTTCCTCGTCACCAGAAGCGGCTTCGTCCGGCTTGGCTGCTTGTCCTGACTTATTGGGACTAGACCACTTGGGCTCCGGCTTGATGAGCAGTTGCGTCTTGTTCTTCCGCTGCAGCTCCTCCTGGTGGTTGTAGCGAATGTGGTTGAGGATCTTGGAGGTGCTGGTCTTGGTGCGCTCGCAGAGTGTGCACTTGAGATAGGAGCGGTAAGGCAGATGCTTAAAGCAATGCTTCTGCAACTGTGACCGCTGGGTCGTCGGCTGCACCTCGCGGCACTGCAGGCACATGGCCTTGCGTCCCGGTTCCATGATCTTGAAACTGTTCTCGATTATGTGCTCGAAGTCGTGCTTCTTGAACACGTGCGTCCGCCATCCGTCCATCGAGGAGATTTCTTTGCCACATTTGGGGCACAAGTACGAGATGAGCTTCATCAGGCCGTTGGTGGACATCTCCGAGTCGGAGTCGCGTGGCGGCGTCGTGGACAGACGACGACGCTTGGCCGCTTGGCTCGACTGTGAGTCCGATTTCATTTCCTTCTTCAACTGGGCCACTTCCTCTTTGCCGAGTGCATCTATCTCGATAATTACCACTTCCTGGTTTTCCTGCTGCGGCGGCGCATCCGCTAACTGCTGCCCAACATCCGGTCCCGCTTTGCCAGTGATGCTGCCTTCTTCAAAGAACTCCTGGCAAAGGGCATCCAGTTCGGCGTCATATTTGGGCACCTTCTCCTCCTCCTTTCGCACAATATCCTCGTAGGCATTCAAACACCTGTCCAGATTCTGTTCACTGGCATTTGCATTGGTCTTGGGTGCGACTGCAGGAGCTGCTGCTGCTGCTGCTGCTGTTTTTGTCACGCATGGTTGTGTTGGGGATTTCTCCAGTTCCGTGTGAAGATCGATGTCCATGAGCGCTTTTTGCAGCAGATCCTTTTGCTTTTTGCTCCCGGATCCTTTGGGACGCCCTCGTGCCTTGCCTTGACTGCTAGCTTCTGGCACAACGGTGGGTTTTTGCTGCTGCTGCTGCTGTTGCTGCTGCGGCTGCTGCTGCTGCTGCCGCTTCATCTGTCGCAGCTTGTTCTCGTACTTCTCGATCTCCCGCATGTGCGTCTCCAACAGGTGGACATTGAGAGCCCTGCGCCTCGTGTAGGCCATGCGGCAGTGCACGCATCGATAGGTTTCACTGTGCTCCAGGTGCATGAAGTAGTGGTACTGCAGCAGGGCGATGGTCTTGTGGGCATTCTCCACCCACTTGAAGCACAGCTGGCATTCGTGAAACCTCTCATCGATCTGGATGAAGTTGAAGTCCGAGTAGGTCTTCTTTAGATAGTCGTGTTTCTGTGGGCATATCGAAAAACTATTAAAATATATATATATAAATATATATATCTCCCCAACTTGCCGTATTCAAATGCTGACGCCACTCGGCCTGAGTACGAAATGCCTTTCCGCATTCCGGACATATATAAACCATGTGCGCCTCCAGACGCGCATTCAGCCGACTCTGCTCATCCGAGAGCGTAACATTCCGCGACATTTTTCTATAAATTTAAGGGTCAATTTCAATAATTAAACCTAAACAAACTGTAGAGCGCAGCGCTATGCGAGGCATTGAGATGAGCGATAGCCGGTAAAGAGTCACTGCTGAAAATGTTATCGTGTGAACGGTGACTGCGGTCACAGTGTTAAGATACTTTAAGTGCAAGCCTGTATAAGTGTTGAAATATGTAAAGATTCATTTATTAAAACTAAAATAATAAAATAATAATAATTAAGATAAAATACCATTATTTAAAAGTTATCTTCCTTTTTATATATATTTACATATATATTTTGCCTATTTTCCGATAACTCATCTCGAAAAGTTAAAAATACTGCTCTCGATAAATAACAGGACCATTCGCCGCGACTATGTTATCGGCCCATGGCGCATCACTAGCATGTCCGACTCTTTCCTGCAAATTGCATTGGAATAGTTTGGAAAACATATAAAAATAGTAAATAAATAGAAACGTATGAAAAGTATTAAGCTTCATAGAGAAACCTATTAACATGTCGAGTGCGTCGAAGTCGACGGTAAGGCCATAACCCAACGATTTCCCTGCCAAATCTTAAACTTAATTTAACCTTTTCGCAGCCGAGCGCTGCTAGCTCCACGTCTGCAGCTGCCACCGCCGCTGCCTCTGTCGCCTCAGGATCCGCCTCCTCCTCCGCCAATGTGCAGGAGTTCAAGATCCGGGTGCCCAAGATGTCCAAGAAGCACCATGTGATGCGGTTCAACGCCACGCTGAACGTGGATTTCGCCCAGTGGCGCAATGTGAAACTGGAGCGGGAGAACAATATGAAGGAGTTCCGGGGCATGGAGGAGGATCAGCCCAAGTTCGGTGCCGGGTCGGAGTACAATCGAGATCAGCGAGAGGAGGCGCGTCGGAAGAAGTTTGGCATAATAGCGAGAAAGTACCGGCCGGAGGCGCAGCCTTGGATCCTAAAAGTGGGCGGCAAAACGGGAAAGAAGTTCAAGGGCATTCGCGAGGGTGGCGTGGGCGAGAACGCCGCCTTCTACGTATTCACCCATGCTCCAGACGGTGCCATCGAAGCGTATCCTCTGACGGAGTGGTACAACTTCCAGCCCATTCAGCGCTACAAATCCCTATCTGCGGAGGAAGCTGAACAGGAATTTGGTCGCCGTAAGAAGGTTATGAACTACTTCTCTCTTATGTTGCGAAAGCGTCTGCGAGGGGACGAGGAGGAAGAACAGGATCCGGAGGAGGCTAAACTAATAAAGGCAGCCACCAAAAAGTCCAAGGAGCTTAAGATTACTGACATGGATGAGTGGATTGATTCCGAGGACGAGTCCGACTCGGAGGACGAGGAGGATAAGAAGAAAAAGGAGCAGGAGGACAGCGACGACGGCAAGGCCAAAGGCAAGGGCAAGAAGGGCGCGGACAAGAAAAAGAAAAAGCGGGATGTGGATGACGAGGCCTTCGAGGAGTCGGACGATGGAGACGAGGAGGGCAGGGAAATGGACTATGACACCAGTTCCAGTGAAGAGTATGTATCACAAATAATTAGACAAGTATATTACTTCGTCTATTGGTAATACCACTATCACTGACCACTTTTTTATGCCTCTTTTTAGCGAACCAGATCCGGAGGCAAAGGTGGACAAGGACATGAAAGGAGTGGCCGAGGAGGATGCGCTGCGGAAGCTACTTACCTCCGACGAAGAGGAGGAGGACGAGAAGAAGTCTGATGAGTCTGATAAGGAGGACGCCGACGGCGAGAAGAAAAAGAAGGAGAAGGGCAAGGACGAGGGCTCCAAGGACAAAAAGAAGAAGAAACCCTCCAAGGACGACAAAAAGGGGAAGTCAAACGGCAGCGGCGACTCGTCCACAGACTTTAGCTCAGACAGCACAGACTCCGAGGACGACCTGAGCAATGGGCCGCCCAAAAAGAAGGCCATGTCCAAGGACAAAGACAAGGAGAAGGAAAAGGAAAAAGAGAGCGCTGCCAGCAGCAAGGCCTCAACCAGCAGCAGCAGCAATGCCAACAAATCACGATCGGCCACCCCGACGCTTGCGACGGATGTCAGCAAGCGCAAGATGAACAGTCTGCCCAGCGATCTCACCGGATCGGACACCAGTAACAGTCCCACCAGCACCCCTGCCAAGCGTCCCAAGAACGAGATCACCACCTCGCTGCCCACTTCCTTCTCTGGCGGCAAAGTTGAGTAAGTAAAGCCATGGGATCTATTCTGGACTTCCAATTAATTGTGTACTCATTTCTCTAAAGGGACTACGGAATCACCGAGGAGGCAGTGCGTCGCTACCTCAAGCGCAAACCTCTCACAGCCACCGAGCTGCTCACCAAGTTCAAGAACAAGAAAACTCCCGTCTCAAGCGACCGTTTGGTTGAGACCATGACAAAAATTCTCAAAAAGATAAATCCTGTCAAGCACACCATTCAGGGAAAAATGTATCTCTGGATCAAGTAGCCAGCGATCATGTGATTTTAAGATTTCATAATCCAAATGCATTATTGTTCCACTTAATATAGAAAAGAAAAAAAGTTGAAATCAATTTGTTAAATTTGGTTTTATTTGAACAAGAAAAAATGAGTATATTAACAGCAGACACTACAAATAAATAGTTGTTAAATGTTTTTTTATTAATATATAACAAAGGCTTAAAAACTGCTATTATTTTTTCCAAAGTACTTAAAACAATTTTACGCCAATTTTCTTTGACATAAAATATTTGTTTTAAAACGATTCATTCTTCTTTCAAAAGTTTTGGTAGTTTCTGCTCATCATATAGAAATTTAAAAGCTCTTTACGTCAATCAAGATCACAGATTTCAAATTTTCTTCCCGTTCAAATTATAACGTTAGCTTACGTGTAACGTTAGGGATGTGACTTTGCTAATTACTATGGCAATATATCGGTAGCTATCGATATATAGGTACGGTATGGTTAAAGGCCTGGCTATATCGATAGTATCGAATCACAATCGTTTTAAGTTCCAGCTCTAGATGTTTGTGTGTGAGCCCTCTGCGGATGTAAATTCTAATATCCGATAATTAGCAAAGTGGAGCCAAAGTGTCCCTTATCGCGACTGTCATGCTCTGGCTGCAGCCAACGAGCTGTCGCTTTCCCCGTTGAGATTGGACCACGAATTAAGGAATCCCACGTCCACGGGCAGGAGCAAAACAAAGTAAAACGCAATACCACTGCGATGGCGACGAGTGAAGGGGCGAGCGAGTGTTGAAAAAATCGGACTGGATATAGGATTTGGCCAAAAGTCGGCCTAAACAGTCAGCCAAAAGCACGAAAAACAATAATCAAGTGAGTGAGCAGTGGGTGTACGTGAATCAAAAGTCGGAAAAGCACAGGAAATCGCTCAGCTGCTTTGTTGTTGTGTTAATTAAACGCACACACACACACACTCATGCACACGGGTCTCAGCAGATACGCCTGAAAAAAAGCATAACAAAAGCGAACATACGAAATTGAAGTACATTAACTTGTGGCTGCTGTCTCCAATTGGGCGCATTATTCGCTTATCCTTTGGGTGTTTTCACCTGTAACCCACGATTGTGAACATTTCAGGGCACATTTCTACATACATATGTACATACAATCCTACAAAAAGAAAACCTTGAAATCACATTCGTGCCTTGTAAAGTTCAAGGTGTGCGTTCGTGAGTGTGTGTGAGTGTGGGTGGCTGGGCGCTGCGTGTGGTGTGTGGTATGTAATGTGTAATTCGAAACAAAGCAAATTAACGCGATTTTCACGAAATGTAATTTCTGAAACATTTCTAATTGGTGAACATACAATCGATATGCCTGGATATTTTGGTTATTTGCATGAGCTTAAGTTGATTAAGGGTTACTTTTTTTCATAACAAACATTTGCTAACAAAATTAAAAAAAAAAAAAAGTTTGTTGATAAGAGAAAAAGCTAACCAACATTTTGAAAGTTTATTTTTATTATATATTTGTTTTAAATGAATTATTAAATTTTGTATTGTAATATTTTGCTTTTTTACAGCTAAAACTATTTGTTTGTGATATTTTTTACAGAGCAAAGCAAATTTGGGATATATGTAATATAAATTTTTAAAAAGAGTTGTAAAATGTTATATTTTTAAAAATAACATATTTCTTAAATAACTGTAAAAAATAGTTAACAAATTGTTTGGGCATTTAATTAGTTCTTAAAAATGTAAGTAATTCGTAGCTCCAATTCCTGAACAATCCCTAGAGCGTTATTCTATTAAGCGCACGCGCCTCCACAGATTGAATTTCGCATTATTGTTTACCCATCCAATAAAAATAAAGTCACGTTCTCATTAAAACCTCTGCTCCGTTTGTCTATCGATGTGCTAATGCCTGTGACGTTTTTTTTTGTTAAATCGTAAATTTAATACACATTTTGTGACATATTTGCACACTAGCCCCGGGTGTGTGTGTGCCAAAAATATTAGCAGATTTAATAATTTAGCGTAAAAAACTTTCCACATTTGTTTCTGCCCCATTTGTGGATCGGACAGCGTTCTGTCGGCGATTAGTAAATGGGCATGCGATCTGGGTCTTATCAGCAAACGCTGCTCGTGACTCATCTGGTTTAAGCCGGCAAGGCAGGCATTTGTTTTAGTTTTGATTGCATCTGCAGCAGTTGCCCCTAAGATCTCGGTCACTATTGGATGGCGATAAAATCAATTGATGGCAAATTGAGCTCAATAACAGACATACAGCAAAATGCGTTGATTTTTTTCTATTAGGTAAACATAAAATGCATTCGTGAGAAATGGAACTGACCGACGCTGTGTCAACAAACAAAACAGATGTTTGACAGAAGCAGCAGCAGCAGCATGACTGAAAATACGTTAAATTTTGAAGAATCAACAAATCAACAAATCAACAACAGCCCCAGTTGCTTGTGAAATAAAAAACATTGATCACAAGCCGTTTATCTTATCAGCTGAGCTGTTTGTTTGTCCATGAGAATTTGGTGGGGGGAGAATTTACAGGTTGCCTCAACCAAAGCCCTCATTTACATTACCAGACGGAATAAAAACACTAAAATGTCGATGGAATTTATAAACTTCCTTTCCAGCAGAATATGTTTTTAAATAAGTATACAGTTTACATTTTTTAAGTTTGGCCTTTTTTCGGAAAGGTACTGCTAATAGTACAAAATATTTGCGAAGAAATAACTTTGGTAAGGAAAAAACAGTGTTGGGGTGTACCTAGATACTTTTTGGTACCTTATAGTTTGTCTAGGTACCTAGGCTTCCTTTAACCTTGCCTAGCTAAAGATTATTATTTATCTTAAGAATATGGTATGTTTGGTTTTTAGCTACTGACCTATTTTTTTTAATTAGCTTGATAAGTTAATTCCACCGCAGATGCAAGATACAATTATGTTCCTATTTCATGTTGCTACAACCAGAAAATGTCAGGGTGTGTACAAAATATTAAAATTCAATTGCAACTTCGTGAAGATCATATTGATTTAAAAATTATTAATTTCAAAAACAAATTTAATTAATAATTGTGTTTCTACCTTATTTGTACCTCTTGACTTACCTAGAAATTTGAAAAATTTTTGTAATTTTTTTACTTTACCTAAATACAATGTTGGGAAGGGTACTTGTTTTTTTATATTGTCTAGGTAAGGTACAAGGTATTTGCTAAACTTCAAGCAACACAACAAAGATATCTTTCGTTGGAATTATTTTTTTAATGCAGTAAAACTGTGATGTAACTAATTTGAAAAACCAAAATAAAAACTGTTTCGGTTCCAAAATAACTAGATAAATTTTTCGTAAGGTACAACACCTAGGAAAACTAAAAAGTAGCCACATATTTTTGAAACTAGGTATGGTAAAGAGTACATTTTCTTACCAAAATTAATCATAAGTAATGTACTTCCCAACACTGCTACCATATGTACTTTCAGGTCCAAACACACAAGATTTATCCAGTTTATTAAACATCTTCCCCTTTATATTTTTTCAGCCCGAAGACTAAAGGCACTGAATCGCTGGCGGTGTCACACAAATGAGAGATGCAAATAGTGCGGATGGTAATAACAAATCGCAGCAGCAGTGGACATAGCGGACTAGAACAATAACAGTATAGACGAAGACCCGATCTCCAGAAGAAGTGTCCTGGGTGGCAGAATGTCCAAGAGGGGTTGTCACATACTCACCCTGCTGGGTTTGTGCCTGGTCTGTCATGAGGCTGCTGTGGTCAGGGGTCATGTGCTGGTCTATCGAAAAATAACCAGCCAGGTAAGTTCAATAAGGATAACCTTATAAAAGCAAACTTATATCTACATATTTAAAATAAACGCTTATAATTAAAGCATTCAAAACTTAACAGTGGAAAAGGCAATTTTTGTATCTAATAAAAGATTTCAAGTTAATGTAATATTTTAACTTTCAGTTAATTGAAGAGTTTAATGACATGCCAGCGCAATTCGGGCCCCAGGTGCCTTCAAATGGTCTCAAAGTGTATGTGGTTCCCGCCAGGTACCCTTACTACGGTTGTGATGCCCTGGACAGACCACCGCACTTGAATTACCCACCCTCAGCCAAATTTGTGGCATTAGTATCGCGGTGAGTTATCTAAGTAAATATTAAATGCATTGTTCTAGCTTAACTTTAACTCTTTTGTAGCGGTGGCGATTGCACCTTTGAGCGGAAGGTGCGAGTGGCCCAGAATGCAAGCTATTCTGCTGTGATTGTTTACAATAACGAAGGCGATGACTTGGGTAAGCAGACGCACGAATGTAATTAAGTCAACAAAATGAGTAGCCCAAAGAATTGTTAAAAATAACTTAATAGGAACCCTAAAACTAAATTAGAGCATTCAAAGCTCAGTGTTTAACTGTAAGGGTTACTTACAATACTTTCACTTGCCTAAACCCTTGCTGTGTTATACAAAATATTTTGGTTTTTTAATTAATAATGTGCTTATATTTATTAAGCTTTATTATGTAGTGTATGGTTTCTAATTTCACCCATATTGCAGAGCAAATGTCCGCCGATAATTCGTCGGGCATAAGAATACCGTCGGTTTTCGTGGGCCACACGACTGGCAAGGCGCTGGCCACGTACAACACACCCGAGGTGGTGCTAATAATTAACGATGAGCTGCCCTTCAACATCAATACCCAGTTAATATTGCCCTTCTCCATACTGATTGGCCTGTGCTTCATCATCATGGTAAAAGATCCGAAGTTTAATCGCTTGTTATTGCTCTGACTGGATTTCTTTGTTTACCGGTTAGGTTATCTATATGATCTACAAGTGCATACGCGAGCAGCGCCGTCAGCGTCGCCATCGACTGCCAAAGAGCATGCTGAAGAAGTTGCCAGTGCTCAGATACACCAAGAACAATGCGAACAACAAATACGACACCTGCGTCATCTGTCTGGAGGACTTCATCGAGGACGATAAGCTGCGTGTGCTGCCCTGCTCGCATCGTAAGTGAACTTACTTCATTGAACTTATACGCTTAATTTGTAGAGGTTTTATGATAACTAATTTATCTGAATCAATGCATTAAGGG